AGCTAGTGAGGTTAGTCACCTTTTAAAGGTGTGGAAGGGAAATGGGCAACTTTGAGGCACAGATCGATGTATTTTGGGAGATTTGATTCAACTTCAGATTCAGAGACTTTCTGGGGTTTGTGATGTCAGCATGGGGGGGATGTGGACTGGTTTCTCCATCCTTAAAAAGTGCAAATGGGGTGCTCTGGTGAGACCCTGCAGCTCTGGGGTCCAACAGCACAAGGATGTGGAGCTGCTGGAGAGAGTCCAGAGGAGGCCACGGAGATGCTCCCAGGGCTGGAGCCCCTCTGCTCTGGAGCCAGGCTGGGAGAGCTTGGGGGGTTCACCTGGAGAAGAGAAGGATCCAGGGAGAGCTGAGAGCCCCTTCCAGAGCCTGAAAGGGGCTCCAGGAGAGCTGGAAAGGGACTGGGGACAAGGAATGGAGGGACAGGACAAGGGGGAATGGCTTCACAGTGTCAGAAGGCAGGGAGAGATGGGAGATTGAGAGGAATTGTTGTCTGTGAGGGTGGTGAGGCCCTGGCACAGGTTGCCCAGAGAAGCTGTGGCTGTCCCTGGATCCCTGGCAGTGCCCAAGGCCAGGTTGGATGGGGCTTGGAGCCACCTGGGCTAGTGGAAGGCGTCCCTGCCCGTGGCAGGGGGTTGGAATGAGATGATCCTAAGGTCCCTTCCAACCCAAACCATTCTGTGACCCCGTATCACAGTTACATTTCTGATGTCCAGGAGCATTTTCCCTGCCTTCAGGATGCCTTTCAGGAATGACTTGTGTCTCTCCCAATTCCTGTGTCATCTGTGTGAGCCTGGTGTGTTCAGATGTCTTGGATGTCCTGAGGCATCTCAGATGACCCCAAACATCTCCATTTAGTCAAATTAATTAATCCCTGAATGTCTGAGCCCCTGTGCAGTCAGTGCAGACCTGGTCCATGTGTTTAACACAATCCATAAAGCTGTTCCTCTCTGGAATCACCTGGGGGGCAATTCTGCTCAGTTTGTCACTGAATATCTCACCATTTATTATCTCCAGGAATGGGATGTTTATGTCTTATCAGAGTAGCACTTGGCTTTCATTGTTTTAGAAGAATACTTAATTTTATGGTGACTGTTTCTTAGAAATATAAAAATACTCTGGGTTGCCTGTGGAAACACATGGCTGACAAAAAGAGATGTTTAGAGGATCTATCTGTGTATGGATCCGTAAAGTGAATAGTCTTGAGGAAAAGGATGTGGATTCTAGAAAGGAAAAGGGGTACTATCATTTATCCCCCAATTCTAGGATTAATATTATTTATAGGGATGAACCTTTAAAGATTCCTGTTTGAGCCTGCTTGGTTTTGAAGTTCAAATAGGAAAAAAAAAAAAAAACCAATCTTTAAATACCTTTTGAAATTGCAATTAAGAGTCAGTCAAAACCCATCACTAAAAGAATAGGTTTTGTTTTGCAAATTAGCAATTAAAAAGTGACAAATATCTTCAATGCTCAAACACTCTTCTGCAATTCCCGTTATGTTCAAACAATACTTTCTTTTTTTTTTTTTTTCTGGGAACGTGAGGATGTTCCCCAGTATTTCCTTTCTTCCTTTTCTCTCAGGAATGCCTCTGGAAGCTCTCTATCCCCCTCCAAAGCTCCACTCACTTCACCAGGACTGGGGATTATGCAAATTCCTTCATGAATAGTTTAAAATCACATTCATGTTTTCCAGTTTCAAATTATAACAGGAGTGGCTTATTTGGCTTTTATGTTTCTTTCTCTACTGTTTTTTTGCCCTTTTTCCCCCCCTCCTCTTGAGTTTTATTTAATTATTTAAATTTATTAGTTAAATTAATTATTATTTCTTCGGTTTTCATCCCAGAGTAGTAATACTTAGGGAAAGCCAACTTTTCTTTTTGTTCTACAAGTCTTGAACTGCAATTATTTCCCTGTTTTAGCAGTTGTTGTCCATGTTTTCCGTGGCTTAAGGCAGGCAGTGCTCTGGAAAACAGGCACTCCATGAGCTCACGTGTCTTAACTCTGGAATATTATGTGGGCTTTTATTGTTAATATTTCTCTCCTCATGACAATTTCTCTGGCACCACTTTAGCAGAATAACAAACATCGGCCTCTGATTGTATTAATCCCGTGGAAAAGCAATTTAGTGCTGTATTGTTGTAAATTATGTCTCTTTAGGAGCAGGTTGTTTTATTGTGACAGAGATTTCAATTTTATCTGTTGCCGTGGATGGGAGGATTTATTGTTGCTGTGAGGTGGCAGAGAAATGAGGAGGAGGCTTCAGCAAGGGAATAAAATGTCTCTGTCTCTCAGGGGAAGGGCAGCAGGATGAGCTCAGACAGGAACTGGGAGAGGGAAAAGGGAAAGAACTTCTGAGGAGGATCTGGAGGTCACTGGAGGTCAAATCAACAGGGAATCACAGAGTTGGAAAAGCCCTCCGAGATCATCCAGTCCAACCATCCCCCAGCACTGCCAAGGCCACCACTGACGCACGTCCCCAGGTGCCACATCCACTTTGTGGCTTTTAAATCCCTCCAGGTGTGGGAACTCCACCAATACCCTGGGAAGGTCTTTCCAGTGACTGACACTCCTTTTGGTGAAGAATTTTCTCTTAAAATCCACTCTGGAAGAGTGTTGTAATCCATATTTCTCATACCTACATGTAAAACCACACATGAACACAAGTTCCCTGTAAAAATATCCCATGGATCCTGCCAAAATCCCTGCTGCAGTACAGTGAGTGCTGGGGAACATGTAGGTGTTATGACCCGCCCCAGAAGGGGAGAGTAATCCAGGTTCTTATTAATAAATCCCTTGGGTTGGGTTAGAGTGAAACAACACTGAATAATCAGTATTTGTAAACATATATGTGTAGGGTTTATTTTTAGAACAGTTATATTTCAAAGGCAAACAGGTAAATTGCTGATTTGGGTGTTGTAATCTATAGCAACGTTAAAGCATCTCTAGCAATATAACAATATTAAAACATGGCAAGATAGCACTATTAAAGCATAAAAATACTACTTAAAAGAATGTGTAAGGGAGAGAAAGAAAGGATAAGGAGATATATATATATATATAAGGTGATTGATATATATAGTCACTATCCACTTGATCCAGCGGTGAAAGTTGGTAGTTGCAGCTTCCAAGTTTTGGTTGAAGTGACGCTCTTGACCTGTTGAGGATGAGGGAAGCCCTCCCTCTCTAAACCTCAAAGGTTTCCTGAGTTATTCTACGCTTCCAGCTCAGGTGGGAATGCCTGGTGCCTCCCCTGGGTGGGGAGTTTCACCATGGATCACGTCACGGGACGTGTCACAAGCGGTCGATGCTCCCAGGACGGGTTTTCACAGCAGAGCCATCATGTAAGGGAGGACACTGGTATGATAAGAAGGATTATCCCACCTGGCAGGATTAGCCTCTTCCCTCATCTGGAAATGCAGTTTGGAGCTTCAGGTGTGCATCTGAACTCGGGATGGCTGGGCAGTGGCACCCACTTTTCTGATCTGAAGGTGCTTTCCCAGTTGGCGTATTCAGGGAGGGATGGGCCCTGCTGGGTGAGCAGCTGCTTCTTTGCAGTTTTCTGCAGTGGACAAAAGTCTTTTGGTGATCTTACAGTGTTTAAGCCATTAACTATTGCAGTCTCTGATAGTGGGGAACGCTCATTCCCAGCACTTTAACAGGGACATGAAAATTGTTGACTTTTTTTACGCTGATCAAACCTGTGGGAACAAAGTTCCGAAGCAAAACTGGGAGGGAATTTCAAGAGAGGTCCTACAAATTGCCACCAGCCTGATTGAGCTGAGGAACCCAAGCCTAACAGCCCCAGTTATCTCTGTAATTAGGGGAGAATAACTAATTTGATCATCAATTTACATCTTCTGTGGGCTGAATTGTCCTCAGGAGGTTCCTCCCTCTCTCCATGGCCTCCAGGAGCAGGTTGAGCTCCTAATTTATGCAGTTTGCTTGAACACCTGAATTAGGAGAAATCCCAGCGGTGACTTCTGTAATTTTTGGTCCATTACAACTTTAATTTAAGTTAATCTCTGAAGATTCAAAGGAATAACAGGCCTTTGTGAGCCATCGAGGTTGAGAAAGGTTCTGGTTGTACTTTGAAGGATCGTTTCTGTAATTTTTTAACTTGTCAAATCTTCAGTGTTACCAGTAGAAAACCCAGCATGGATCATTGATTTCTAAGTGTATTTAATATTTAGCTTATTTTTAACTGCCTTTTATTTCAAATGTTTTGGAAAGGGAATAATAACAGGCAGAAAAAATACACAATCAGGGAACATCTTAACAGCACCGGAGTGGGCATGACACTCTAAATGAATAATCTAATAATTAGTCTCTTAAACATTTATTTAACTAAGCCATCAGACAATTGGAAATGTTGGTTGTGTTTGTTCCTTGATTCCTTTAACCAGCAGAGTTTTGCTAATTCACAGCTTTGTCAGTCTGATGTCCTTTGATAATTGGCCATGTGGGCGAATGACCACCAGAATCTTATGTGAACATCAAGTATCTCCGTGAATAAATTGCTAAACTGAAGCATTTTTCCTCTTGTATAACTCATAATATAATCCATTATTGCTGCCACCTCTGCCTGAAAGCAGAAAATTAAATAACTGTTTGCCATTAATACAAATTATTGTGTTTTGACAGCTTCCTAATCAACTCAAGCAAAAATGGTGCTGCACAAATAGAACAACTGCCTTTTAAGTAACTTTTATTTTTGGTGTGTGCCTGAGAATTCTCCTTGTTTGGGCCTTTGAACCATTGCAGGGTTTGTCCTTGGTAATATGTTGATATTCAGAAGCATAAATCAGCTTTATTTGTGTCATGCTCTGCTGCAGAATGGATTTTTCCATGTAGTTACCCTATAAATAATCTTGGAAAACACTTGACCAGCAGGTGCTGCCATTAGATGTTGCCTCCACTGTGGACTGTAATTAATATGCAAATGAGTGATTAATTGGCAGATTTTGATGTAACAATGTGTGCTTTGTGCCCTTTCCAGGTATGGGCTGTTTCTGGGGAGCTGAGAGGAAGTTCTGGAGGCAGAAGGGAGTTTACTCCACTCAAGTGGGTTACGCAGGAGGTCACACCCCAAACCCCACCTACAAGGAGGTCTGCTCAGGTAACTCTTCCTCTCTGGTTTTTGGGGATTGGGAGTGGAATCCCCAAAAGATTATGAAGAGTTAAATGAGTGGCTGCAGTGACTAAAAAAAATGTGGTGTTTGGCCCACCCTGGTGTTGGCTTTGCACCCTAAACTGTCCCGAAATGTCTGCCCATCCCATTGTTACTTCCTAATAATTAGCGAGTTAAGGTGTGAACAAAAGAAAAGGTTCTTCAGGAATTCTGTTTTGAATGATGAAAGTGTGTTCCTTAGAAAAAAATGTGAGTTTTGCTTTTACTTTTGTCTGTATCTGAGTGCGAGCAAAAATCAGGAATTTCTCATTTGCTTTATTATTAATAATTTGTTAGCTTTTCATACAGTTTAATGCACGACATCCTGTCATTTGCAGCCCAAACCCTTGCATTTGCTTTTCATTCTAATAACCCAACACGGTTTCTTTCTGTGGGCTGAACCACAGAACCACTGGCAGCCAACTGATGTTACTGTGGAAGTAAATCCTTGCTTTCCTGGACTTGCAGATGGGGAACAGCCTGGAAGTTTTGGTTTATTTTCTTGTTAACAGTTTTGTGCCAAATGCTGATGTTGGTGCTTGTTCTCAGTGCCAAAAAGGCAGGAGGAACGTGGTGGAAATAGGGAAAAATGGGAAAAGGGATGTTTAAGGTGGAGTGGAATGGAATGGAATGGAATGGAATGGAATGGAATGGAATGGAATAGAAATAGAAAGGAATAGAAAGAAAAGAGAGGGAAGGGAAGGGAAGGGAAGGGAAGGTTTGGGAAGGGAAGGGAATTGGAATGGAATGGAATGGAATGGAATGGAATGGAATGGAATGGAATGGAATGGAATGGAAAGAGAGGGAGGGACAGGATTGGAAATTGAATGGAATGGAATGGAAAATTCTTTTTCCATTTTGTGGTGACAGCCATACAGAGGACAATCTGAAAAGGCTTTCTGGAGTGGGTGCAGGATTTTGAGCTATTTTCAGGGCTTTTGCCTAATCCATAAATACACCAATTTTTGGCCAGCATTAGACAGCCCAGGATGTTCATTCAGCACGAAACATCTTTTCATATTTTGCTTACAGATGTTCAGAACAATTCTGTTTATCTGTATATTCATAAGCCTTTAGAAATCTGCATAGCTCAAGTGGCACTGAAATCAGAAGGGAAAAACTCTGCTGTTGTTATTCAGAAAGTGGTGATGTACAATTACCATATAAAATGTGCTGCTAACGATGATTTTCTTAAAAACAGGGCAGTTTACAGGCTTGTGGTTCAACATCTAAGCAGGTCATTTTGCTTTGCTTTGAGTTGTTTTCTTTGTTTATCCTCAGTGACTGTAATTTAAGGGAAAAAATATGAATATGTCTGTTTATTATATGATATTAGTTAGAAGGCTTAGTGAACATAACAGCAGATTAAACCAATTTATAACCCAGACAACTCTCAGTACCTTTCTGAAGCTTTTTCTCTCATACACAAATCACAAATCTTAATAATTAACAATTCAATATAAAAAGTATTCCACGTGGAGTTGGTTTTCTGCTTTGAGTTACATAAAATAGTTGATTGTGAGGTTGTTTCATATTTCCTAAGCAGCAAACCCACGTTTTTCTGAGGGACAGTGTTGCCTCTTGCATATCAATTAGTCTTTTGACTGATTCTTCTATGTGAGATTTCCCGGTCCTGGCTTTCAAAGGTCATCCAGAAGACTTGGAAATAGCTGATGGAAAGGAGTGGAGAAAGGCAAAATTAATTTCTTGCTCTGTTACCTCCTCTGCCTTTGGTGATTTACCAAGTTAATTCCATCTCTGCTTCATCTTTAGACTGGAAGGAGAAGGGCGGGACAAGCAGATGAGCCCAGACCAGGCTGATGGTGGTTGGCACGTGGTGGTTTGAGAATGGAAAGGCTTGTGGAGGGTTTGGCTTTGTGATGTGGATAAATATGCTTATTTTGCATATTTATGCATTAAAAAATATGGTCATTAAAGGTGACCCCTGAAAATCTGACTGGCATTTTTCACAGGTTATGAATAGAAATATAGAACAAGTGAATATGGGAAAATAGTTCTTGCCTTCTGAGATTTCCCCTTCCCTACAAAACACAGCTGAATGTCCTATGACAAACCATCAGCATGTCCATAGAATCATGGAATCATGGAATGGTTTGGGTGGGAAAGGAACATAGGATCATCTTGTTCTACCCCCTGACATGGGGACACCTTCCACTGTCCAGGGTTGATCCAAACCCTGTCCAACCTGGCCTTGGACACTTCCAGGGATCCAGAGGCAGCCACAGCTTCTCTGGCCAACCTGTGCCAGGGCCTCACCACCCTCACAGCCAAGAATTCCTTCCCAATATCCCATCTGTCCCTGCCCTCTGGCAGTGGGAAGCCATTCCCTGTGTCCTGTCCCTCCATCCCTTGTCCCCAGTCCCTCTCCAGCTCTCCTGGAGCCCCTTTAGGCTCTGGAAGGGTCTCTCAGGTCTCCCTGGATCCTTCTCTTCTCCAGGTGAACCCTCCCAGCTCTCCCAGCCTGGCCCCAGAGCAGAGGGGCTCCAGCCCTGGGATCAACTCAGTGACTGTCCTTATGTTGAGACAGGGCCTCACCTTGCTTGGAAAACCCTTCCTTTGGACATCACAACACTGTTCCAACGTGGCTCTGCCTCTCCAACGTGTGTAAATGTATAATCAAACTACAAACATTCCCTTCACTTTCTGCAGGCTTATAAAAGGGATCTGAAGGTTTTCATGAGCAGGAACTAAGACCACAAGATTAAAGTTTCCAAGCAGTAATGAGAATGGCTCAGAACAGTTTCTTTTGTTATTAAATCTCTGTCAAGAGAATGGATTCCTGTTGTGCCTTTGTCTGTTCTTTTTTTTTTTTTTATTTTTTTTTTCATATGAGAGCAGGATATGGGAATTTTAATGACTGTGAAGAATATCAGTGTTCCCCATGCCCTTGATCTGTGCCTTGGTATGATTGGCCAATTGCTTCACCTCTCCCCCTTTTTTTTTTTTTTCCCAGTTCACCTGTGAGGAGGGAAGGAAAGGTCAGGCAAAGTCCCAAATACTGTGGAGATCAAAGTTAATGTCATGTACTGTGGGTATTAGTGTTTTGTGGGGGCTCTTTGTAGCAAGTGGAAGAACAAGAATTTAGTAGAAAACGTGTAATTTTTATTAACTAGACCGGTTAGAATAAGCTTTTTCTCTTTAATAGTGAGATTGTTGTCTTGGGATCTTCCCAGAAGTGCAGACAAAACCTGGATGTAACCCCATAAACTATAATTTGTCCTTGATGCCACTTGCCAGGTCATGAAATAAAACGAATGTACCAATTTCACTTCAAAAAAAAAATCATTTGGAAAGGTGAGAACAGCTGCTGCTGCCACGTTAAAACCTTGGCAACCAGAACTCCCAGAGATGCATTAAATTCCAGTTCCTGCAGCTCTACCTCCAAAATTGCCCACACTGACATTACTGACATGTTCTTTTTCGACAGAAGAGCTTCTTATTGACCAAGAAAACTTCATTACACCTTAAAATCCAGGATACAGAAATGGAGCCTGGTTCAGAATTTAAAAAGAAAGGGCAGAATAAATATTTTTTGCCCGAAAACCAAAAAGCTCTTCGTCCACGAGGGAAGGCAGCAACTCTGCTTAGGGAGCTCTGCTGCATCTTTAATCAAGGTTGAGCTCCCTTTTCCATTTCAGAAGTTGACTTCTCAGGGTTAATATCTTGTCTGGTTCAGGCTCCAAGAAACCAAAGTGATATTTATTATTTAGATGCCTGATTGTGCCTCGTGGCAAATTTCAAATCCACTGCTGTCCTCTGTTCCTGTCATCTATTTGTCTCAGCCTTGCCCATAATCACAGGCTCAGGTTGTAGCAGCCAGTATAAATACTAAATATATTATTTATTATTAACAACTTTATTTGAATTGTATCCCACCGAGATGTGTTGTTTCCATCTCTCTCTCATCTCCTGGTTTTATTAAAGATATATATAAGATGAAAATGTGATAGCCCCAGAGGTTGAAAGAGCCATTTACAGAAAAAGTCAAAGACAAATCTTCTGACCTGGAGCCTCCAGGAAGTTCCCAAAGGACTTTTATTTTCAAGAGAGAGCCCGTGCAGGATCAGGCTGGGATGTTCCCACGTCACTGGGCCTGAAAACAGAAGATGCTTCTTTTTTTAAGCATCAGAACCTGGTGTATTTGTGAAAATGATGTTATTAAAAAGCTCACTGTTGCTATTGTGGCCAGTGGGGGTTTCTTACTTTTTGTTTTTTAACGTGGAGACACTTGTGAAATAAAAATAAGCTACACAGCCAGTTTCCTCAGTCTGCCAAACTGTGCTTCCAGAATTAGGGATTGCTGCAGATGGGAACTCCACTGGGGTCACCTGTGGCTGTTCCTGTCCACGAGAACCATTCTGCTGTGTAATGTTTGAAGTATCTTGTGCAAACTGATACAAGAAGTCAAAAAAGGGGAAAACAAGAAGAAAAAGAATGTCATGGGGATAGAGAGCAAACTGAGGAGGGATTTTGGATAAGGGCCTGGAGGGACAGGACAAGGGGAAATGGCTTCCAACTGGAACAGGGCAGGGTTAGATGGGAGATTGGGAAGGAATTGTTGTCTGTGAGGGTGGTGAGGCCCTGGCACAGGTTGCCCAGAGAAGCTGTGGCTGCCTCTGGATCCCTGGAAGTGTCCAAGGCCAGGTTGGACAGGGCTTGGAGCAACTTGGGCTAGTGGAAGGGGTTGGAACAAGATGAGCTTTAAGGCCCCTTCCCACCCAAACCATTCCATGATTCCATTCTGTCTTCCTACCCTCCCAGCTTCCAGGTATTAATGATTTAGTCTTTAATAATCACTGATGACCTTTTCCCTATTAATTTGTTTATCCGTTTCTTTAATACGATTTTATTTCTGGCATTCACAAATAGGAGGGGAAATTGTGCTTTCATTAACTCCAGCACTGAACCTGTGCAGGAAGTTTCCAAGA